GCTCGATGACATACGGTATCTGTGGCTTCACAAGAGGGTAGCTTAGGAACCTTCCAGAACCTTAGCCCGTGTCAGGGAGCAGTGGTGGCTAGATACTGAGGAATGGGCACCAGGAGAAGCGGGGTTGGAGATGGACTTGGAAGAAGGTATCAGTGACTCGCAGGAGCCTGTAACAGCCAGGAGGTGAGAGTCAGAGTCAGGGGAAGCTGCAGAATTACCATATTTTTCGCCCCATAGGGCTCACCGCCCCATAGGACGCACCTAGGTTTTTTTTGGGGGGGGGAAATAAAGAAAAAAAATTATTTCCCCCCCAGGCACGGGGCTGGCGCGGGGGAAGCCCGAGCTTCCGCCGACCACAGCCCCCAGAACAGCCTGCTATCCGCAAGCCTAGGGAGCCGCGCCGGTCTCCCCAGGCTTGCGGAGAGCTGCGCGAAGCCCGGGCGCAATCTTCAGCGCGCCCCAGGCTTCGGAATGCAGGCAGCTCTGCGCAACCTTTGGGAGCCAGGCGCGGCTTTGTGGCGGGCTCCCTAGGGTTGCGCAGAGCTGCAGGAAGCCCGGGAGCGCAGGCAGCTCTGCGCAACCCTTCGGAGCCCGGCGCGACTTCGGGTCGCGCAGAGCTTCCTGAAGCCTGGAGAGCGAGAGGGGTCGTGCTCTCCAGGCTTCAGCGAAAGCCTGCATTCGCCCCATAGGATGCACACACATTTCCCCTTCATTTTTGGAGGGGAAAAATGCGTCCTATAGGGCGAAAAATACAGTAGTGAAGAACAGGTGCAGGAGGCGGGAGAGATACGTCAGGCTGGTGTAGAGCAGGCATAGGCAAACTCTGGCCCTCCAGATGTTTGGGACTACAATTCCCATCATCCCTAGCTAACGGGACCAGTGGTCAGGGATGATGGGAACTGTAGTCCCAAACATCTGGAGGGCCCGAGTTTGCCTATGCCTGGTGTAGAGTCAAGGGCTTCCACACCTCCTCCTGCTGCTGCTGCTGCCTTCACCTCTCCTGCTCCACTGTCTCCCTGAAACCCGAGGAAGCCACTGGCGGGGATGAGAAGCTGTGGTTTGTATCCAGTACTAATTCAGCTCATAGGAGACCACTGAAATAATAGACATGGCTAACTCAGGCCCATGAATTTAATTTAGCTGACTACAACCCAATACTGGGCTGGATGGACAAAAGTCTGACCTGATAGAAGGCAGATTTCTGTCTTCCTTGAAATCTTTGGCCTTTGATTTACTTTGCCTACTGAAGTCTTCCTTGGAGAAGCACTACTGTGCTGAACATCACAGCTTGAAGAGCGAGCCCAGGGCCCTGAAAGCACAGCATGGGTCCAGGATGGAACAGGGAGTGAGATGGGGGAAAGCCATCTTCTTAAAGCAGTTACCTTGCAGATGCACCTCAGGCAGAACTTGGCACCGTGATAAAAGAGGAAGGAGCAGAATTGGCAATCAAAACAAAGGCTGGGCCCCATAATAATCAAGGACGCTTATGAGCCAAAACAATGGCCTGGTGGGAGGAAGGAATTGATTGCCGTGGCAGGAGGTCTTTGCTGCCTTCCTTGCTCTCTGAACTGGTGACAACTGCTAACTAGTGCTGGAGAAGACGAGCTTTGGATTCTTGCCCTGTTAAACCTGTTTGCTGCCTTCCATCCCACTTGAGGTCTATCAAAAAGCTTGTGTGCAGCTGTTTAAGAGGGAAGGTACAAATCAAGAAGTCCCTGAATCTAAGAAGAGCCCTGCTGGATAATAATAATAATAATAATAATAATAATAATAATAATAATTTATTTGTACTCCGCCCATCTGGCTGGGTTTCCCCAGCCACTCTGGGCGGCTTCCACAAAGACCAAAAATACACTAAGATGTCACACATTTAAAACTTCCCTTAAGATGTCTTCTGAATGTCAGGTAGTTGTTTATCGCTTTGACATCTAATGGGAGGGCGTTCCACAGGGCGGGCACCACTACCGAGAAGACCCTCTGCCTGGTTCCCTGTAGCTTTGCTTCTCGCAATGAGGGAACTGCCAGAAGGCCCTCGGCGCTGGACCTCAGTGTCCGGATAGAATGATGGGGGTTGAGACGCTTCTTCAGGTATACTGGGCTGAGGCCATTTAGGGCTTGAAAGGTCAGCACCAACACTTTGAATTGTGCTTCGAAACGTACTGGGAGCCAATGTAGGTCTTTCAAGACCGGTGTTATGTGGTCTTGGCGGCCGCCCCCAGTCACCAGTCTAGCTGCCGCATTCTGGATTAGTTGTAGTTTCCAGGTCACCTTCAAAGGTAGCCCCACGTAGAGCGCATTGCAGTAGTCCAAGTGGGAGATAACTAGAGCATGCGCCACTCTGGCAAGACAGTCTGCGGGCAGGTGGGGTCTCAGCCAAAGAGACCCTACCTGCCCACAGACAGGGGATCAGGCCAAAGGCCCACCTAGTCCAGCATTCTACTCTCACCATGGCCAACCAAGTTCCCAGGAGTAACCAGCAAGCAGCAGTACTCACCCCACCTGGGATTCCCAACAACTGGCATTCAGAAGTCATGCTACCTCTGACAGTGGACACTGAACATAGCCGCTTCCTGACCCAGCAGGACTCTTCTCATGTTAGATGAATCCTTTAACCTGAACATACATCCCATGTATTTTCTATTTGTGCATCCATTTTTTTTAAAAAAAAATATTAAAAGTTTTCTTGGTTTACAAAGGTATGCACAATGTCTCTTTTTTCAAGTTACATTTTCCATAGGTCAGTTTCATTTGTTGAGACATTAGGAGGAAAAAGGGGGGAAGAGGTGGAGGGGGCCATGGTGGGTGGGGGTCAGTTCAGGAGGTGATATTTCTATTTTGCTTAATGTAGGTGTGGGTTTTTGTGTCGGCGTCGTTTGTGCAGGTTCTCTTTGCTATTCGCTTGTGTTCCTTTGGTGGTGAGAGAAATTGTGGTTAGCCTAGGTTGCGGTTGCTTGTTTGTGATTGGCTGTGTTGAACTTTGTTTTCGTGTGTGAGTGGGGTGGGTGGTGTTTTTGAATCAGGTTAGCCATATTGATCCATATGCTGTTGGTGGATTCTTGTCGTTGTCTTGTTGGGCTGTGTATGTGATGAAGGGGAGCCAATTGTGCATCCATTTTGAGGTTGTTAAAACCTACAATTTGTTTTATTTATTTTATTTTATAACTCGCTCTGCATTGAATATTTCGATATAGGAGTGGGGAACAATGAAATAAAACGATAATGCAAATGTACAAACAATTGCAGAATCCATAAAAGCAAATCCAATAAACAAATTAACAGCTCCATTGTAAAACGAAGAAAGCCAGGAAAGGCAACAATTAGGATATCGCCATAATAAATTGCACAGAGGATTATTCAGGAGAATAATGTCTCAGGTTTGCTTAAGCATTCATGTTTGGATGCTCCCTTACATCAGGTGCGGGGAACCTTTGGCCCTCCAGAAGTTGCTGAACTACAAATCTCATCATCCTGGGCCATTGACCATGCTTGCTGGGACTGATGGGAGTTGTAGTTCAGCAACATTCTGCGCTGTGGGTTAAACCACAGAGCCTAGGACTTGCCGATCAGAAGGTTGGCGGTTTTGAATCCCCGCGACGGGGTGAGCTCCCGTTGCTCGGTCCCTGCTCCTGCCAACCTAGCAGTTCGAAAGCACGTCAAAGTGCAAGTAGATAAATAGGTACCGCTCCAGCGGGAAGGTAAACAGCGTTTCCGTGCGCTGCTCTGGTTCGCCAGAAGCGGCTTAGTCATGCTGGCCACATGCCCCGGAAGCTGTATGCCGGCTACCTTGGCCAATAAAGCGAGATGAGCACCGCAACCCCAGAGTCGGCCACGACTGGACCTAATGGTCAGGGGTCCCTTTACCTTTACCTTTAACATTCCGACAGGGGCAGAACATATGCAGGGGGGTAGGCTGTAGCTTAATGGTATAGCACATGCTTTGTGTACAGGAAGTCTTGGGTATTTCCAGGTAAAAACATGCCACCTCAATATTCTGTGGCCTTACCAGCAGGAGCAAGACAGTAGGGAGGGCGGCACGGTGCAGATGCACCAGCAAGGAGCAGTGGATTGGCTTTTTTGGTGTGTTTGCACTGCACTGAACTTCCCGCTAGCTCACCTCTCCTCCTCCCAGTAAGCAGCAGTGACTCACCTGCTAGGAAAGGGAGAGGTTAAAAATTACTCTCTGAATGCTTTGAATAGCTGTTTTTCACTGTTTTATTGCTAATTTTATTATTTTATTCTCTTTGTAAACTGATTTCAGGTTATTTTTCTTTCTTGCAATCAGCAGTCTGTAGATTTCATGAAAGAAATAAAGAACACCCACTTTCAATTCCCAGCCGCTGAACATTTCCCTTGTGGCTAGTAGCCATTATTATCCTCCATGAAAGCCTTGCATCTGTCCAAGATAGAAAAGTCCAGAAGGGAAATACACTGAGGTTTCTTTCTCCTCCTCCTCCTCCTCCTTTTCCTTCTCTTGCATTTTTTTTTTGGAGTGGGGGGAGTTGGAGGGCTCAGGGTTGGATGTTGACAGGTTTCCCCCTCCTGCTTCCTAGACCATATGGAAGTAGTGTGATTTGATAGATAAAACACAGGGTTTCTTTTTTAAAAAATGAAACACAAAAGAAGAACATATTCATTTTAAAGCTTTTTACTTATTTTTTTGCCCATATAACATTTGTTTCCATGGAAGCAGATCTGGCCACTAACAGTGCGAAATGCTATTCAGCTGCTTGTAACTGTTCCCATTGGGGAGGGGGGCTGGGGGGAGAAAGAGAAAATGGGGGGTGACAATTCTGGTTGGCAGTAAATCTAATTTCTGTCGAGCGCATTGTGCGCATTTTCTTAATTTCAGCAGGTTGTGCTCAACTTGAGTCCTGCTCAGAGGAGATCCATTGAAATTAACAAACCTTTGTTGCTATTGGCATTTTATTATCCACCCTTTGCCCTTAGGTCCCAGTGTGGGTTACAGTATTAAAGCACAATATGTTCTTTATCGTGGATGAGCTGGGATAGCTCAGTTAGTAAAGTATGAGACCCTTAATCTCCAGGTTATGGGTTTGAGCCCCATGTCGGACAAAAGATTCCTCTGATTAAAAACAATTTAAGACAACTTACAATCGTAAAAAGAAGGTGGGTCCTAAAAGCATACACCTCAGGTGTCAAAAGCCAGGGTGAAAAAGTGTGTCCTCAGCATTATTCAGAAGCTGTATAATGAGGGGGCCAGATGAACCTTGGTGAGGAGTTCAATAGTAATGTCCATTAACTTCAATGGGTCTCCTCTGTAAAGGACTAGCACTGAATGCCAATCACCAATGTTTTCTTTTAAGTGAGTATGAAGGGAGACCAGGTTTCATCAAAGGTATTTTCCTTTATAACCCCTGGTTATTCTTTTCATACGCAGGAGAAAAAGAAAGGAAAGCTCTCCCACCAGTCTCACAAACATGTCTGCGGAGAACCTCTATGGACTGCCAATGTTTTAAGACCATGTAAAATGATGCCATAAACTTAATGCTATGTTCTTTTCTCTGAGCCAGTGTGGTGTAGTGGTTAAGAGCAGTGGACTCATAATCTGGTGAACCGGTTTCGATTCCCTGCTCCTCCACTTGCAGCTGCTGGGTGACCTTGGGCCAGTCACACTTCTCTGAAGTCTCTCAGCCTCACTCACCTCACAGAGTGTTTGTTGTGGGGGAGGAAGGGAAAGGAGAATGTTAGCCGCTTTGAGACTCCTGAAGGGGAGTGAAAGGCGGGATATCAAGTCCAAACTCCTCCTCCTCCTCCTCCTCCTCCTCCTCCTCCTCCTCCTCTTCTTCTTCTGTGGAGACTGAATTGTATAATGAGAGAGGGGGTATCAAGGACAGAGCTGGACTGAACTATCAGGCGAAAAACAATGTAGAAAAAGAGTCTTGGATAAATGGAGTCATTTTGACTATCTTCACATGCATGACCTCATTTCTTCATTTCCATTTCATTCCTGGCATGCACCCCAATTTTCCTTCCCAAAGGGAATCCCAAAGTGGTGAAACCACAAAACAGGAAGCAGCTCAGTTAGCACTAAAATATTGGAAAAGAAGTCAATTCATTCCAGTACAGGCTCACTGATAGAATAAATCTGTTGAATCTCCTCCTGCTCTGAATGTCTTCTGCCCACATCGCCACATTTGGTCTCCTTTGAGCAGTGATGGGAGCAGTGCAGATCTCTGCAAGACAGCAGTCACAGGCCAGCCACCTTGTTCCTAGAAGTTAGCTTAAAACGATAATGCTCATGCCTAACAGGATGCCGAATCACAGATGTGATATTTTGCATAGAAAATAAAAACTTCTTCGAACCCACTTTGAGCAAGACCTTGCTTGCTTCGGTCCAAGGCAGAATCCTACTTTGGTTTTCCAAAACTTTGGATGTCTCCTCATCAAGAGCTGCTGCTGTCGGCATGCACAGAGACTGTTGTGAAGGCATGCGTTGGGATGGCTACCATTCATGGAATTGGTTGAATCAGAGAGTTGGAAGGGACCCTAAGGATCATCTAGTCCAACCCGCTGCAATGCAGGAATATGTAGTTGTCCCTTATGGGGAGCTGCACCCCAGAAAGCAGCTGCCCCCCTTAAAGGACCCTGTTGTCTGAAGGGTCTATTGTGCAGCATGTGCCTTCATTTTCTTCCTGGTGAGTTAGCTTAGGATCGCAACCTAAAGCTTGGAACTGTGCATGTGTAACTGTGGGTAAGCTCAACTGAACAAACTGGGATGCTCTTCTGAGTTGAGTGTCCACGGGGTTGTTCTGCCAGTGTATTGGTCTGCAGTGAAGACTACTTACAGAAAGCAATGTTGGTTTCATGTTGACAAAGGAAGTAGGAACCCACTCTGAACATCAGCACACCTCTGCTAGTAATCCGGTTTCACAAAGCTTGTGTCTGGCTCTTATTGGGATGCTGGTTTTCCCCTTTAGAAATTCTGTGTTGCTTTTCCTACCTTTCTATCTTCAAGGGGCAGGAGGACAGATTTTTAAAGACTGGTTTTATTCCAAAGAACGGGCAAGTGGCTTCTCCCTAGGCCACTGTTGAGGTTGTTTTATGAATTTACCAGCAGGAGGAGCTACTATACTGATGAAATGCTCAGGGATAAAAGCTAAAGGGAGAGATGAGGGCACATGTGTATGTTGAGTTCTTGCTCTTTTAAAAAGAAAAAGAAAAGAAGGGGGGGGGAGATAATTAGTTTTACACCAGGGTTCCTGGCCTCTGTCTTTCCATTATACCTGACAGAGGGTATACCGGGCCACAACTGAAAAGTGGGCCCGCAACTTCATAATTAATATGAATGCAGAGTTTTAACACAAGCCCTACCTTTGCAGTCTCATTCAGCGGCTGCAGAACTGACCTCCCCTTTTTCATTTGGAGTCACTTCAAAGATGGACCATGGGTTCAGGTGATAGGGAATGAAGTGTGGTGCACCTCTCAGGCTTTCCCCAACTTTAAGAACAGGCCACCGTTCTGCATTGTAAGAAACTCAGGGAAGCATGGTTTGTTCTAGCAAAAGTTAACCATGGTTTCAGATTCTGGTTAGAACAAGCTACACTTCTCCAGGTTCGCAATGTAACACGGAACTGTGATCTCTTCTTTTCTCACACTCCTCATTCATGGGGAATATACAAGCCCTAGACTTTCTGTGGTTCATTCCTGATCACCTGAGCCAGCCTTCCCCCATCTTGGACGCTCCAGATGCTTTGGACTACAACTCCCATCAGCCCCAGCTAGCAGGAACAATGGTCAGGATTGTGGGGAGATGTAGTCCAAAAATCTAGAGAGCACCATGTTGGGAAAAGGCTGATCTAAACTACGGTTCAGGTGAAGTCAGAGCATTTTCAGAGTAAATTAATATTGCAGTCAGAGCAGAGCCATCATCCAAGCATAATAGGTGAGGAGGGGCCTAATTCCTACCCAGCTCTAACTTGTAAGTAAGAAGGAGGTCTTTATTCAGAGAAGTAATAGTACAAACGGGGCAGCAGACACAGTGCTCAGGAGGCATGAGACAAGAGTTCTGGAGCAGGGTAAGAAGTTCAGAACTGGCAGAAGTGATGAAAATGTCTCAACAAGTTTCCTTTCCCCTCCTGCTGAGCTTTTAAGGTGGCATTTGTGAAACGCTCTCACTTTGTGGGGACATTAATACAGTGGTACCTCGGGTTACAGACGCTTCAGGTTACAGACTCCACTAACCCAAAAATAGTACCTTGGGTTAAGAACTTTACCTCAGGATGAGAGCAGCAGCGGGAGGCCCCATTAGCTAAAGTGGTACCTCAGGTTAAGAACAGTTTCAGGTTAAGAACGGACCTCCAGAATGAATTAAGTTCTTAACCTGAGGTACCACTGTACTGTAAGCAGAAGCTCCGTTGGAACGGGTCCCATCTGCAAGAGCCACACCTCGTTCTAGAAAAGAAGGCCCCGGGCTTAGTTGCTGCATTCTCCTGCTCAGCCTCCTTGCCCCAGGCTGATTAAAGCCCTCCCCAGCCTCTGCTGAGGCTCTTTGGTCTACAAGAAGCTCAGAGGGGAAAGCGGGCATCTCCGCTCCCCCTTCCCAAGCGCCAGAAATCAGTGTGGAAGGGGAAGATGCCCCCACTCCAACCCAGATTCCCACCATCACCCTTTTCCTTCCTACTCATGCATCAGAGCCTGCCAACCCAAGCCTGATCCAGGGCGAGACCATGATATTTTGGCACCTGAGGCGAACCACTGGGAAGAAGGGGCAATCAAATCAACTTTACCCGATGCTTGAACTGGGAATTGAAGGCAGATGCAGAGCCCAGGAAACCCAGGAGGGCAGCCCCTGCCATTTCTTCCTTAGGGGGTAGGAAAGCGCTGCTGCTGGGAGACCAGTAGTTTCTCTAGTTCACCAGAAGGCTGCTGTGCAGGCAGCACTGAGGCAGGGTGCTGAGGAAGCAGTAGATCTGGGCCCAATAAGTGTTCTGCATCCGCTACTGGTGCTGTTCTTTGGAGGACAGATCTGCCCCCCTCCACACAGTGGATCCTGCTGCCTAAGGTGGTCACTTCACCTTGCCTCATGGGATGGGCTGGCCCTTGGGTTCAGGCAGTGGTCTTCACTTAGCATAAGCATATTCCAAGAGTATTCCAAGGATGCCCCTGTTTTCATCCATGAAATGTATGGGAGGATGGAATGGGGGCTATCAAAGCACATATTGAAATCAGCTGTGGGAAAGCGCCAGACTACACATTACATTGTTTTGCGTTGAGTGCAAGATTCTGTTTTATTTTTTAATTCAACTGGAACTCCATCCACCCATGCAAATAGCAGGTGCAGGGCTGTTGATGGTCTATCTCAGAACCATAGCACGGGGCAAAGGGTTAACACCCCCTCAAAACCTCCCCCAAGGTCATGATTCAGAGTTGCTCCTCCATCACCACTATCCTGGCACTGGCTGTTCGTGGGGAGAATATCCTTGCAAATCATGCAATTAGCAGTAAAGTGTTCCTTGGTCCACTGAGAGCTGGGGCAGACTCTTAAAGAGGGCATCCTGTCAAGTGTTCCGTGCAGTGTGAAGTTTATGCTTTCTGATGGGATGTCATAGCAGAGCAACCTACACTCCCCCCCCCCGCCATCACAGAATTATTTTTATAGCAGCAGCTGCAGCGCTCATAGTTTGTGTCCCAACATTATTTACTGGGATCCTGCAGAGTCAGGCTGGTAGCACTGCTCATTTCAGAATTGGTGATGGGTGGGAGACTCACCAAGCCCTGGAAGTCTGAGAGCAGAGATTCATTTGCCTTAAGCAACTGCCAGGCAGGGTGCAATTTCCTCCTCCCCAGCCTGATTTTTATTGAAAGGCAAGCAAAGCAATAAAAGTGGTAATTTGTAAAGCTTGCTATTACACAAGAGGGACTGGTTTCTACTTAAAAGTATTGTGATGGATGTGAATTTCCTGTATTTTTCTTTGATGTTTATGTGCTCCCTGGTTGTTCAGGAGGAAAACACTCGGTGCTTTAGTGGTTGCTAGTTAAAAATACGGCATGATTAAGGTTTTCCCATAGAACGTTAATTCTGATCTTTCTTTCTTTCTTTTAACCCTGAGTGG